AAAAAAAGAAGCTTGGAGTCAATCTCACCTGTGAAATCTTTAGCACAGTTTACCCGTTGACTCCTACGTGTTAGCATGTGTTCTGAAATGCTTACTGCAGAACTTGAAGAAGAAAACTTTAGGTCTTCCAAACAGCTTTGAAAATCGCTACCGAGTCTTACGTCTCTGACATTCTACATTGCCCTCCCAGCGTCTAGCTATGTTCCTCTTTCCTTGTACTTCTTATTTCCAACTCTTATCCAGCTGGGTTCTGGCTTTACAATACCCAACTTGCAGTCTCTCTGTATATTGCACAGCCCTCCCTGCCCCCCCCATAGTAAAAGGAAAGAACCAGAGCCATCCATCGTTTTTAACTAGTAGTGACCCTAGAGGACGGAGAAGAACTGCCCCTCTGGATTTCCAGACCTTTAAATCTTCTAAAGGCTGCAGAGTGACTGACTGGTGGGTTTGAACCACTAACTTTATAATTGACAGTTCAATGCGTAACCAACTGACCACTCTGAATCTATATACAGTATCTCTTGGGAGTCCCTTAATACCTATTTGTTTTTCCAATATTTCATACATTTGTTGTCTTATCCTGTAATTTGTGGATCTGAATTCTTCCCATACTTAAAACGAAGACAATAAATTAATAAATTAGTATAAATTAATGTCTGAAGATGTAGTGGAACACCATAGCTAAGAAAGCAGAGCTATTACACAATTGATGTGTGTATGGATTGGGATAACAGTTGTATGAGCCCCTAATAAAATGTTAAAAATAAATAAATAAATAAATAAAACATGACATAGCAAAAAAAAAAAAAAAGAAAGCAGAGCTAGTACGCTCTAGCCAATGCAATTTTCTGAATCAGGGCCCCAGCTGACGCACGGACCAGGCCTCCAAACAAGACCCGGATAAACAACATGGTGTTGGGCTGCGTAATAAATCACAGAAATGAGCTCAGACTAGGAGATTAGGTGAAGTGGGTTTTCTGAATACTCTTTGTTGGTTTTAGACAGTTTGAGATTCCTTGACTACTCAGGAGATTTTTTCTGCTGGGAACTGATGCTAGTCCAAACAGTTTGTGTTCTCATTAACAGCAACAGCTAGTGCACTGCTAGTTTCTTGAGTTCCGCTCTGCCACTAACTCTACCCTCCTGTGGAATTTTTGATAAACAAGTCTTAATTTTATAATTTTATAATATTTATAAAATTTTAATTTTATAAACAAGGCTTAATTTCACTCTCTTCTCTTAAAATGGCAGATCCATGTTAATCCTTTTTTCTATTAGTAGCATTGTTTGAGATATAATTCACATGCTATATTTTCTCCCATTTAGAGTGTACAATTTAATAACTTTGAGTATATTCACGGTTGTGTACAACCATCACCATAGTCAATTTTAGAACCTTTTCAAGTCCTCCAAAAGAAAGCATACACACTTCAGTTATTCACTCCTTCCTTCCACCCCTATGCGTTGCCACCACCACTGAAAGCTCAAAGCAATCACTAAGATACATTCTGTTTTTATAGAGCTGTATATCCTGGACATGTCATAG